TCCCTAAAAAACTGCCAAAAAGGATGCTTCATGCCTTGTGTTTTTTTGCACTCACCAAGTGGATTAAGCTCTGAAACAGCAATTATTACACATCACGAGGGCGCAGCAAAACCTGGAGTTGGACTGGAACTGTGTTAATGAGCAGGAACTGTGTGAGACTGGATGGTCAGTGCTTGTAAACACTGTCTCTGCAACAGGAGAGTTGTGCCTCCCTCCGCCTGTGTGTGACCTTTAGTGAGTCACTTAATCTTTCTGGGTCTCAGTTTCCCCCCTCTGCCCAACGGAGCTCCAGAAATGAAGAGGGGTGGCATGCTCTGATAACGTGTTATGTGATAGCTCGTGAAGTTCCTCAGACAGATGATAGCTGGGCAAACATCTCCCTGATATGGAGAGTGCATCTCCAGCCCTCCGGAGAGATCCCTGCCAGCACTGCCTTGGGGGGAAAAGCCATTCCTCAGATGGAATTCCAAAATAAGCAAGTCAACAGCAAAGGAAAGTCCAGGCACCTCCCACTATCCTCTCCAGAGCATCCCAGATGGTTTCAGGTGTAGCTGTCTCAGGATGAGTCTGGACTTGAAGCCTACACGGGTGACAAGGACCATGACAGGGGGCTGGGATGAGGCGACCTTTAAGGTCCCTTCCAACCCAAGCCATTCCACGATTCTGTGATCCTTCAGAAACACTTGCTCTGCACAGACCAAAGCATCTTGTGCAAAAAACAATGAAGCCTCATGAAAGGAACCAATTTCAAATCAGGGAACTGCTCGAAGAGAGATCTTTTCTTCTTCATCTCTACCTCCCCATAATTTTGTATTAAACGCTCTCGGCTCTCAAGACAACTGTGGCTACTCACAAACTTCAGGCAAAGTTTGTGTCCCTCCTTCTGGAAGGATGAAGGAAAAAGGCAGTGAGAACATGATAATTTTTTTTTCCTAGGGTAACAGCAGCCCCTTTTAATTGTGCCCCTTGGATCTGTAAGACATGCTTGACCAGACATACCTCTGGAAGAGGTCAGCACTCCTGGGATTAAGAAACTTAGCAACGCTCCAGAGAGGGAGTTGGAAAGTCATGTTTAATGATACTTGGCTGAGAAACTGGGCAAATTTAATTAAAACATCACTTACTCAAGCCCAGTGGAACTAATTGAGTGCTCTAATATTCCTCCTTTTCATTAATGGGTTACAAAAGAGGGCTGCACTTGTGTGTACAAGGGGGAAAAGGGGGGAGGCTAGAGAGAAGATGAGAGCTTTAGCAAGGCTGCCTGGGCTTCATTTAATATAACTCAGAAACTTCATTGCTGGCAACAGAGCTTTAATACAGTTGACTTCTCCCCCATCCCCTCCACACACACATCTCCCCCCAAAACACCCTCTCCACCCAAGACCCCTCGGAAAGAATGGCTGAATGAGGGAGAGTAGATCTGGCAAAGGAAGGGAAATTGCTTTTTTAATAAGTGGTCTATTCAGAGCTCCTGCTTTTCAATAAAGAGAAGGCTGGAGAAGTCCTGGTCTAATTACCTCATCCTCACACTAGACAAGCTCACCCTTTCATTAACCACTGAGGTCATATCATATAACTTGGTGAGCCACCACGGGCACAGCATGTTCAGTGATTATTTCACTGGTGGCAGCAAAATTACAGGCAGCCCATCAAGGTTGTAAAAAGCAGAAGTAAAATCATAATTAAATGAGAACGTCTACCAAGAGACACTAAAACTAGGCGGGATAGGATCATGTCACCCTCGCAGAAATACACGGATTGTTTGCTGGTGTGACACCATGGAGAAACTGGTGTGGTGACCAGGAGGGGAGAGGGTTGCTTGCCAAATTAGTCAGTCCAGCACAGGTCCTTTTTTTGCTGGGTCTCAAGGGACTATTTGTATGTTTTGCCATGGTTGGGAGTAATTAGATGGGGAAAATGACACGTAAAAAATCAGTGAGGGACCACCAAGCTTGTGCTGTGTCATTCGTAGAGACTTCTCCACTCCCTCAGTGAACACACACATCCACACGCTGCAAGAACTCCAGCTCCGAACTGCTCAGCTCCAAAATGGCACCAATCAAGGCTGTCTGCACCCCTATACTGCCTTTGATCCACCCCAAATCAAGTCCAGATGAGTTATTGTTCCAATAACCACGCTAGGTTAGTCCAAAGTGGTTTCAGACTGCTGCAGTCGCTGGGTGAGCAAACCCTACTTGACAGTGGTAATGTCTTTATGGCAGGAGTTGGTTGGTGAGCAGCTTCTTTGAAGACACAGAAAACGTGCTGAGAATCATCTTTAACTCACTACCTTCATCAAGGAAAATATCCACAAACTCAGCAAGGAATGCAGTAGTGCTCTCAGCCTCCATCCTCTCGTCCCTGCACTTGCAGTGGGAACAGGAGGATGAACAGATATCAAACCTGATATTAACCCACCCCTGAGAGCAAGCAGTGCCAAAGACAATCCATCCACCACATCAAGAGGGTCAAATTGGTTTCAATATTCTGGAGTCTGAAGCAAGTATTGCAAGTTTTGAGTTTGTTGTCACAAAGCCAGCCTGGGTCCTCATCTCTGATCATCGTCTCAGTGACACCGAGTTGTGCCAGGGGTTTAGGGCCACATATCCCAGCCATACAGATGTGTGTTCTCCTGATCTTCTACCACCACCCTCCTGAAAGCTTCCTCCTCAACATTCCCTCCTTCTCTGCCTGGCTCCATGGTGGTGCTGTGAGCCTGGTGGGGTGCTTGGCTTGGCTTTCAACCACGCCACGGCACAATGAATTCTTATATCCAGCAGCACAAACAGAGAAGTGATTTCAACTGCTGCTGCAAACAGGCAAAGGAAAGCTGTCACACAGCAATCCCAGCTTGACAGACACGTTGTGGGTGGACGAAAATAGGAACACTGGATCACTGACCTGCAGCAGAGGTCTGTGACTTGGACTGCCAGGAGGGCTCTCGGTGTCTGGACAACCGTCACAACTGTTACTCAGCTGTTTAGCTGCAGATATCACACTGTGAAACCACTGCCAGTGGCCAGAGTCCCACTGTGCCAAGGGAAGTGGAGGCAGAGGATGCTGAGAGTCCTGCATCTTCCCCTGGGAGCTAACTCGCAAGGATCAGGACACAGAAGGGAAGGTTGAACCTCTCCCGCTCATCCTTGGAGTTCGTTTAGCTCAAAGTCATGCAGTGTAGAGCACAGATGATAATTAAGGACACAAATCCTAAATCCAAGAGTGGCCTCAGCCATATGGACATCCTGACTTCAGCTCCTGGGATTGGGAACACTGGGAGTTGGGCCAAACTCATCTGGGAGGTTTTTAGCCCTGCCACTGTTGGTGGATATTCCTGGAGCTACGAGGACTTGCCAGTGGCAGCCAAAGTCACATCCTTGGAGGTTTTGATGAGACTGTGACTCTGGAATGAAAGGAGAGCCAGGACATCTCACAGAAACATCCAGCATGGAATCACAGCCTCCACGGGCCACCTTCTCCACTGCCATCCCATCTGCTACACACTCAACTCCAAAAGATGGGACAGAGCAACCAACACCGGGGTTGAAACAAGTTCCATCATCCTGCAAAGCCTGTTTCACACGTCAAAGAGCTGCCACAGGAGTTCAGAGACACTGAGCCCTTTAATCCAGAGCAGGAAAGCCGTCAGCCAAAACCAGACACCAGCTAAATCCAGGATATTTCTAATCCTGATCTCAGCACTGTCTGGGAGCATCTGGTAGTGGGGAGAGGGGGAGACACTTTGCTGGCCAGCCCTGGCTGGTGGCATTCCCCGATGCCCCAATTCCGTCGCGAGGAATGACATTTTATACATAGACACAGCAACAACTGAGCTGGGGTGGCCATTCCTAGAATGCACAACTGGCTGGGCTGCATTTGCCTGGGAAACTGGAGACCCAGGTCCCCCATCCCAGCCCCAAGCCTGCATCCAATCACACAGACAATAACAAGGCTCGAGGGCTATTTCTGGCCTTGCAGTATGTCCCCCTTGGAGGTTGGTGCAATGAAACACTGATCCTAAGCACCTGTGCTGGCCAATCTGAGGGATTTTCGTGTTGGAGCAACTCTAGGCTAGGTACAGCCAAACATATTATGGGAGAAGGTGGAAAGCCTCTTCCTTTTCCCCTTGCTGGGATGACCCAGCACTTGCAGACACTTTGTCCTTTACATCTGTCATGGAAAATGCTGAGCTGGAAGGGACCCACAGGGATCATCGAGTCCAAATCCTGGCCCTGCACGGGACAAACCCAAAAATCACACCATGTGCCCTGGAGCATTGTCCAAATGCTTCCTGAATTCTGGCAGTCCTGCAGGGAGGCCCCTAGGCAGCCTCAGAGGATGTGTAAAGAGCAGGAAGAGAGGATAAAGATGGGAAAAGAAAAAAGGGACTCTACAACCAAGCACCATCTCCTGCTCTAGGTGACACAGAAGGTTTCTGTGCTCTAGGTGACACAGAAGGTTTCTGCCAGAAGACAAAACTGAAGGGACTGTTAGGTCTGAGGTCAGCCAGAAATTAATCTCTCCACCCTGGTTCCCTGCCAGCTGTTTCTCCAGCCAGTTTTAAAGAAACCTGGCCAAGGAGATGCTACACTGTCCATGCTCTACTGAACTGCTGCAAGAGAAGTGTCCCTCAAGGACCTGTTGTGGCAGCATAAAATCCTTCCTCCGTGTCCTACCTCACGTAAGCCTGAGGAATCTGTCTTTCCATCTCTTTGTGATACAAAACCCTCTCCTCCCTGTGGGAAACCAGCAATCTTTGTCTCCACCTCGTATTTCCTAAACCTGACCAGTCCCATTTCTTTCCCTCTGGTCTCCAGTGGTTTTGCACAGCGAAAACCAGGGCATAATCCCACAACTCAGACTTCTCCCCTCCAGAAGGAGCACCACTCCATCCATTTCACATCCAACACTCCTATTCCACACCCAAGAGCAGCATTATTCCCCCCAAAACCCCGCAGCAGCGTGACCACCCCCCCACCACCCTGCGGGCGCCTTCAACGCACCTTCATGCCCACCAGGTTGTTGTGGAAGTCCACCCTGGCTCGCAGGTCCTTGTTGGGCTTCCTCCCCAGGAACTCCTTGACGAACTTGTTGCTGTACTTGAGGTTGTCCCCACAGCCTCCCCACTGCCAGGCCTCCCTGTTCTCCAGGTCGGGGGCCTCGTCGCAGGTGCAGCGCTCCATGCGCCCCGCGCTGCACGCCTTGGCCATGGCGTGGGTCAGCCCCGCCGAGGAGATGGCGTACAGGAAGGCTGTCTCCTTAAAACCTGCAGGGACAGGAGGGAGAGGCTCTAATTGCAGCTTAAAGGAAAAAAATACAGGTCCTTGTTGGGCTTCCTCCCCAGGAACTCCTTGACAAACTTGTTGCTGTACTTGAGGTTGTCCCCACAGCCTCCCCACTGCCAGGCCTCCCTGTTCTCCAGGTCGGGGGCCTCGTCGCAGGTGCAGCGCTCCATGCGCCCCGCGCTGCACGCCTTGGCCATGGCGTGGGTCAGCCCCGCCGAGGAGATGGCGTACAGGAAGGCTGTCTCCTTAAAACCTGCAGGGACAGGAATCAGAGGCTCTAATTGCAGCTTAAAGAAAGGAAAAAAATACCTCAGGAGATGGAGGTAAAACCTACCGGGAGAAGAGCGTGAGTTGTGTCACAGAGTAATAGAGTGGTAAGGTTGGAAGGGACCGCAGTGGGGCAGCTGGTGGCACCTCCCTGCTTCATCCCAGGGCCATCCCAGAGCACGGGGCTCAGGATTACATCCAGACCACTCTGGAATATCCCCAGTGAGGGAGACTCCACACCAGTGCTCAGTCACTGCCCAGGAAAGAAGTTCTTCCTCAAGTTCAGGTAGAATTTCCTGGGCACCAGCTCCTGCCTGTTCCTCCTGTGGCACTGCTGGGCACCTCTGGGAAAAGCCTGGGCTGTGCTCCTGACACCCTCAAAGCATGGCAAGCTCTACTTGCATCACTGATGGTGAAGAGGGCATGGGGGAGGACAAGGAATGATGGACAGAGGTGGCACAAGCCAGGATTCAGGAATGCAAATGGAATCTGGCCAGCTCGGTGGCTGTCACTCTGTGTCACTCACAGTCTCTGCCTGAAAATGGAAAGAGTTGAGCAAGAGTTGCCCCATCCCTGGAAGTGTCCAAGACCAGGCTGGGCAGGGCTTGGAGCAACCTGGTCTACTGGAATGTGTCCCTCCCCATGGCAGGGGGTGGAACTGGATGAGCTTTAAAGTCCCCTCAAAGCCAAAGCATTGTTTGACTCCATGAAGAGTGGGACAGGACATGGAGGTACCACTGCTGCTACCAAGGGGACAGCAAACTGCAGGAACCCAGCACAGACTTCCAATCCTCCTCATTCTTCCCTCTCCTCCTGAATCAAATCACTGGGTCCTGCTCCAGACTGGCAGAATTGCTGACAGGTGACACCTGAGGGCTGGGAAGCAGGAGATGTGTCACCCAACGCAGCACCTCACTCAAAAAAAACCCAAATTTACACCTCAAACCTCCCATGCACAGCCTTTCTTTACACCCTCACACTCACCTGCAGGGATGTGACAGCATCCACACCCCCGACAGGCAAATGACACCCAGAGAGACCCACGGTTTCAATCCAAATTATAAAAGCCAGAAATAAAAAGCAAACATGGCAGTATTTATAGCTGCCCATTCTCCAGCTATGGAAGCTGTAAACGACTGCATATTTGAGATGCAATTCCAGAACAGCTTTGGATGGGACTCAAGAAATCCCCCACTCAAAAATAACACAAGTGGATGGTGACAGTAGTGGATATATCTGTGAGCTGGTGTGTCAACCAAGGACATGCAGAGACACTGCCAGGTCATTTTTGGAACTGTTCCTTGGGAGGTTCATGACAGTCCAAGCAAACTCATGTGGTCGTTCCCAGAGTCTGCCTTCCCAAAACACTCCCAGAAGCAGGAAGACTGATGAAAATCCACCCCAGGAGACTGAGGTTTGGTCCTCCCAAGGCTTCTGAGGTTCTACTTCCTCCCAGATTGTGGTAGGAATTACCCAATCATTCTACTGCTCACCTGGAAAAGGAGAACAGGAGCCTTTTCCTCACCAGAAGCAACACTAAAATACAAAAGGTTCACCTCTACACTCACTGAGGACACCACAAAGAGTGGTGAGAGCTAAAATAACAAATTTTGTTTTCTCCCTGAAGTCAGACCATGTTCTCTGACAGCCCAGAAACACCTTCAGCACTGCAAAATACTCCACTGGAAGTGGCGAGAGAATCCTTAATTCACACAACAAAAAACTCATGGGTACCCAGATGCCTCCTCTGGGCAGAAAATACCTTCTAAGCATCTCTCATCCTTTGTCAACTCTGTTTTTCCACTAAAATCCTTGGTTTGTTTCTACACCCCAGGTCAGACTACCCACAGGCCTGTCCGAGGGATGCCACTACCAAAGACAGATGTTCCCAAGCCTCTGTGCTCCCGGGTTGGAGAATTCTTGCCACAGCTACACGGAATGAAGAGGCGCCAGTGTCAAGCAGAGAATCCTCAGTGGGATGGGGCGTGCAAACCCTGCCCTGGAGATCTGAGCCTGCAATCGTGGCGTGGTTTGGGTTGGAAGGGACCCTGAGATCCATCCTGTCTTGGGCAGGGACGCTCCAAGCCCTACCCAAGCTGGCCTTGCACACGTAGCTCCCAGCCATCAGCGTTAATTGATTAATTAGGCAGCCCAGCTCTGCACCCAGCTCTGAATTCGGAGCGGTTGTGGAATCCCAGCAGAAAGTCAGCGCCGTGCGACCACAACGCATTCCAGACCTGACAGAAAGCCAGGAGGAACAGCTCATCTGCCAGCTTCTCCCTTTCCACCAGCTTTGTCTCGACTCCTCCCGTTCTCCACCACTGAGAGCTTCCCAAATTCCCCGTGCCCATCAGCACGGGGATCATCTCACAGCTCCCAACGAGCTCCATGTGACATTTGGCTCTGGCCAGATTTTAAAGCCATCTCCACCACGCACTATTTGATTGCACCAAGATATTTTGTAACAAGATAATGAGCTTTAAATCAATGCAGGCATTCTAAGCCCCAGTGCATTGACAGTCTGCCGGGCCTGGCTATCCAGTTTCAGCCATTTCCAAAATTGTGCACGAGTATCCAAAGAGGATAACGAGTCCCTTAAACAATCCCCTGTTATTTTAAGAAACGGGGCTGCATCAGCCCAAGCTGCAAACCAGCAGCCAGGGCTGGTCTGGTGACCAAAGTGTAAAAAAGTTTTTCCCCCACAGAGGCAGAAACTTTTAGGTGAAAAAAGTGGGGTTTTTTCCTCCCCCTTTTTCCTTTCTCCCTGCAAAGTCCTGGGGGAGGAGAAACAAGCTCTCAGAGATTAATTTGGAAAGCTGTATTCTAGTGGATGATACACACCAGCCTTTGCCCTGGGGTACCACTTGCTGCAATGCTGAACCAGGAGCCAGCAGCTCCCGGAGAGGAGGAGGAGGAAGATTTACAGAGCACGGTGTTACTGCTCAGGAACACCAGCTGAAGGATTTACAGCACCGGGGCAGGGCAGAGATGCTGCAGGCATATAAAGCACGGCAGAATGAGACAGCAGCAGAGCCCTGCAGCCCTCAGAGCTCTCATTTATCACACAGCTCCCTGACAAGGGCTGCCATGGGGAGGTCTCTGTGGGGTTTTAACTCCAGGCTGCCCCGCAGTGCCCAGGGGACAGGCAGGTCTGAAGGAACGAGCTGTGGCCTCCAGGTGTCAGCATGAGAAAGTGCTTGGCTTCCCCAAGGCACCACTAATCCAGGGACTCCTCTGGCATGCGGGGATATTTTTAAATGTCTTGCAGCTCTGGCCGGACCTCTTGGGTTTCATAAGGACTTTCCTTGTTTCCACCAGTCAGTGACAGTGCATTAGTTAAGCCCCGGTGCTTCTGAATTACTCCTCCTCACTAATTAGCCCTGCAAACCTCTGATCCTATCTTTAAAGGCTTCACACCCTGGCTTTTCCAGGTCCAGGCCCATTGCTGAGTGTGGGACTTCCTGGGAGTCACTGAAGCCTTGGAGACCCTGGAACGCTGTCTGTAAAATGGTGCTGGAGCCTGGAAATAAGAACGGGATTTTGCTGGGAGGGTGGAAGAAACTGGACTGTATATGGAGGCACAAAGAAAAGAACTAAAAATATCACCTTCTCCTCCAACACTCCTAACTTCTGGCTATCTCCACCTGAGCTGGGGGAAGAGGTGTGGGAATTACCCACTGCCCACATCCATGGCAGTAACAGCACAAAACCATTTGCAGGTTTTGCCCTGTACTGTGACAGGGTTCCCCTTGGCCCCTCTAACAGGACAGCACAGAACAGTCTGGTTTGCCTTATTTCCTTAAAAAAGGCATTTTCTCAACTTCTTTCCTGACTGATTGGCATAATAAACAGGGTAAATAAATAGGAGAAATAAATAGGAGAAATAATAAAGAAAGAGGGGACAGCTTTGGGAGCTTCCCAACCCTCTCCTCCAGCAGCAGCTCAATTTCCAGCAGAAATGGGCAGAAAATGTAGCTCCTGGCTGCAGAGACCTGCACAAACACCTCCAGCCTCCAAGGAGAGCAGCCAGGGCCAGCAGTGGGAAGCAGGCAGGGCAAGCCCATAAATTACCTCCATTAGCACATTCTTTGCCTGCCCTGCTCTTCCAGGGATGAGCTCCAGCCTTGCACAGAGCTCTTGGTGGTCCTCAGGGGAAGCACCACCAGCAAAGGATGGCCCAGACTGGCCATCGGGGCAGAAAGAGATGAGTGCAGGGACCCCTGAGACCCCTCAGACTCACCTCCCTTGAGGAGAGCCCCGAGACCCCCCCAGACTCACCTCTCTTGAGGAGACCCCCAGATTCACCTTCCTTGAGGAGACCCCAGACTCACCTCCCTTGAGGAACTGCCAAGACTCACCTCCCTTGAGGAGATCCCCAGACCAGCAGACCCCCCAGACCCACCTCTCTTGAGGTCCCCCAGAATTCCCCTCTCATGAGGAGCCCCTGAGACCCCCCCAGACTCACCTTTCTTAAAGAGACACCAGACTCATTTCTCTTGAGGAAACCCCTGAGATCCCCCAGACTCACCTCCCTTGAGGAGAGCCCCAGACTCATTTCTCTTGAGGAAACCCCTGAGATCCCCCAGACTCACCTCCCTTAAGGAGCTCCTGTGACCCCCCCAGAATTCCCCTCTCGTGAGGAGCCCCTGAGACCCCCCCAGACTCACCTTTCTTAAGGAGACACCAGACTCATTTCTCTTGAGAAGCCCCCCAGACTCCCCAGACTCACCTCCCTTGAGTAGACTCCTGTGACCCTCCAGACTCACCTCCCTTGAGAAGCCCCCAGACTCATTACTCTTGAGGAGCCCCCAGACTCACCTCCCTTGAGAAGCCCCCAGACTCATTACTCTTGAGGAGCCCCCAGACTCACCTCCCTTGAGAAGCCCCCAGACTCATTACTCTTGAGGAGCCCCCAGACTCACCTCCCTTGAGAAGCCCCCAGACTCATTACTCTTGAGGAGCCCCCAGACTCACCTCCCTTGAGAAGCCCCCAGACTCATTACTCTTGAGGAGCCCCCAGACTCACCTCCCTTGAGAAGCCCCCAGACTCACCTCTCTTGAGAAGCCCCCCAGACTAATTTCTCTTGAGGAGCCCCTAGCCCCCAGACTCATTTCTCTTGAGGAGCCCCCCAGACTCACCTCTCTTGAGAAGCCCCCCAGACTAATTTCTCTTGAGGAGCCCCTAGCCCCCAGACTCATTTCTCTTGAGGAGCCCCCCAGACTCACCTCTCTTGAGGAGCTCCCAGACCCCAGACTCACCTCTCTTGAGGAGCTCCCAGACCCCAGACTCACCACTCTTGAGGAGCCCCCCAGACTCATTTCTCTTGAGGAGCCCCTAGTCCCCAGACTCACCTCTCTCGAGGAGCCCCCAGACTCACCTCTCTTGAGGAGGCTGGCGCGGTAGCGGCCCTCGAGGGTGCAGTTCCAGCGCTCGAAGCGGAACTGGTACTGGCACTCCAGGGCGCTCATGCTGATGGCCTCCATCAGGGTCTCGGCCACGCCGGGGTCGCGCCGGCACATCCGCCGCTGCTTCTTCTCCAGCTTCAGGCGGTCACACACCTTGTAGTGGGCCTTGACGGCCGCCTCCTCCATTTCCGAGGTCAGAGGGAGGATGGTCAGGGGTTCGTTCCCCGTCAGCCTGCCGAGAAACACGGGGGCACCACAGTGAGGGCAGGAAAAACAAAAACTTACTGCAAGAATTCCCAGAATGACCAGGTTGGAAGAGACCTTCAAAGTCATCGAGTCCAACCCAGCCCCAACAGCTCAACTGAACCCTGGCCCCCAGTGCCACATCCAGGCTTTGTTAAACACACCCAGGGATGGGGACTGCACCACCTCCCCGGGCAGCCATTCCACAACTTTATCACCCTTTCTGGGAAAAACTTTTTCCTGATATCCGACCTAAACTTCTCCTGGTGCAGCTGCAGGCTGTGTGCTCTGGCTGTGTCAGTGCTGCTGGAGAAAGAGCCCAGCCCCAGCTGAGCACAGGCACCTTTCAGGAGCTGTGCAGAGTGAGGAGGGCACCCCTGAGTCTCCTTTTCTCCAGGTGAGCACCCCCAGCTCTGAAATTCTCCCCCGTGAGGGTGGTGCAGCCTTGGCACAGGTTGCTTAGAGAGGATGTGGTTGCACCATCCCTGGAAGTGTCCAAGGCCAGGCTGGATGCTGAGCAAACTGTTCCAGTGAGAGGCATCCCCACCCAGGGCAGAGGCTTGGATCTAGATGGTTTTTAAGGTCCTTCCAACCCAAACCATTCTGGGATTCTATGAAATACAGCCTGTGATAGAAATGGGGTCACTGGTGGGATCAGGATCTCCTGGCTGGGCATCCCTGTGGACTTGATTTTACAGTGAGGCTCCTCACAGTGTGTGTGCAAAGTGGCAGCAGGAAAAGGTAAGAGGAAATATCTGGATTTATGCTCCCTACCAGATTTCACAGAGCTTGTTTGGACACAAAGCCTTAGCCACCTCCACCACAGGACTGTGCTTAAAACTGAAAGTGGAAAGAAATCATTTCAGGTGCCTCACTGCATGAACTTGGGCAAAAATACACGAGCACCACTGTCACTGTCCTGGGCATAAACAAAACAATCATTATAGCACACCAAGCAGAACCAGAACCCAGCTGGGGAAGGGACAGAGGATGATTCGTCCCATCAAAGCCCAAGAGACACCCTGAGAAGGCACAGAAAGCCACCCTGCCCTCAGCAGAAGAGATCATGACACAAAACCCAGCGAGCCTGAGGCTGGAGAGCAGGATACGCTTTCCAGGAGATGCTGCCAAAAGCTTTTACAAGACAGAACAAGCTCAAAACCTAAAAAAAACCCCATAACCCAAAGAAATTCGTGTCCCTTTGCCTCGTCCCCTCCCTCCCCTGCCTCTCCCAGCACAAGGTCCTTGACTCCACAGTGGGCAACAAAAGATGCCAGCGGACTGTTCCCGGTGTCAAGTGACGAGCTGCTGGAAAAGGACCAGGCTGGCATCGTCCCCAGGAGCAGAGAGGCTGCAGGAACATCTGCTGGGCTCAGGAGAGCTTTGCTGGCCAGGCTGCTGTGCCCTGTACTGTCCTGGCTGTGCCCTGCTCCGGCCAGGTGCCAGGCCCCACAGTCAATGGGAATCGCTGTCCGGGCTCACACAGCACCTGCAGACACATTCCCCAGCCAGAAAGGAAGAATGGCTGAGATCCAGGGCTGGGAATATGCTGGAATGGTGCAGTCCTGCACTGGGGAAGGTTGGGGGCTTGGACAACTCCAGTGCTGCGGGAGCACTGGGAAAAATGGGGTGATGGGAATGGGAGGGGAGCTCCCATCTCAGCCCCTTTGCTGAGATGCTGGAAACCCTTTAAAGCCCCTCCTGCCCTGCAGGAGCAGTGATTTGCTGGTTTTAATGAGTATTTGTGTCTAATTAATGGGATGCAGCCTGCCAGCAGCACAGGCACTCAGAATGCTTTAACTCCCAAACTTTGGTGCACAATGGGCATAAAATCCTGACCCGAGTCCCAGCCAGGCACATCCAGTACAGATCCAGTCATTGCTGAGGCATTGATGAGGTGATTTAATATCAGATATCTCAGGGAGGGGGCAAAAATTGGCTGAGGTGGGACATTTGGAACAAAGATGGGCAGGAAAATGTTCTCCTCCAGTTACATCCAAAGGTATTGATATCTCCAGAAAAACCCTGCGCTGGTAAGAGGGATTTGTGGGAAACATGGAAAAATATCTTCCCTCAAGTTTTCCCCAAAATAATAATTTAAAAAAATCTGAAAGGCCAAACAACAAGGTCTATTTGAAGCATATTTTAACCCTTTCGTTTCTGGTCTGTCCCAGCTGCTCCCCAAGGAAAGGGGGACATCACCCAGCCCTGGTGCCTCCCAAAACTCTCAAAACTTAGCCAAAGCTCCCAGGAGGCTCATTCAGGAGAGAGGTGCCTCAGTCTGAGCTTCACTGGAGCAAAGATCTGTAACAAAATACCCAGGACATTAATTCCTGGCTTTCCTGGTACTCTTAAAGATTCATTCCTGCAAACTTTCATGGTTGGCACAAGAGTCCCTCAGCTGGCAAAGGAGAGGGAGGGAGGCGTCCAAGCATTTCCTAAGCTCCCTCTCCCCATTTTTGCTTTCCAGCTGAGCAGGGATTGTTCACCTAAATGGTCTGAAAAAAGCTCTGAGGATCCTGTAGCAGATGGCTCTTGGAGTGAGGAGGGAGATGGGAATTGATTCTACAGCCAAGATTTCTGCAGAGCAGTTGGTGATTTTCATCCTCTTCCCACCTTCCCCCCTCAGGTGCTTGGCTTTGGGATACTTCAAATTCCAGTTTCCCACAGATCAGCCTTCCAAAGCTGGTTGATAGCAATGTGTTTAGGTGACTTTTGACCAACAAAAAGTCACCTAAACACACACAAAATAAAGATCCAGGGACCAGCAGATGGTAGGAAATGGTGCTTCACAGTGCCACAACTCTCCCACAGCTGTTGGGAGAACAAGCCACGTAACACCACAACGAACAGAGATCTGCCCATCACTGCCTGCATTATTGCTCAGAAGCACCCCTGGCACAAGCCAAGGAGCAAATTGAGGGGGAGAAGGGGTTTTCCCTCGCCAGCACGCAGAAACTCTGCCAGGTGAAGAGCAGAAGCCACACACACAGACCCACACACACATTTTCCCCGCGGGGGCCCTCGGCTCCGCACGCACATTCCAGAGGCCCTGGGAGCAGGGGGGTGAGGTGGCACTTTCCAGAGCGTGGCATCAATAACAAAGCACAGGCAGAGGCAGGGAGAGCTGCCCCACCTGACACGCCGCTGCATGGAACCCTTCTAATCCCATAAAGCCCTTTTATGCAACCTCGGCTGAGTGAGGTCCTGTAAGGCAACGGTGTCAGTCGGACGCTTTCTCAGCTCCTCACAAAGGCCAAGCTGTTCTTTCCAAGGAAATGTTTCAGCGTGTGTGTGTGTGTGTGTTTGTTTTTTACACACTCAAGCCACGGCTGTAATGATGGAAGTGCCAGCCAGAACCCTGTGATTGTGTTATTTTGCTCCAAGAAGGGGCTGAGTGGGAGATGGAGTGGACACCTCTGAGTGGAAAAAGGGTGAAACTGGATGATCTTTAAGATTCCTTCTAAGGCAAACTGTTTGAAGCTAGATTCCAAAGGATTGTGTGTGTGTGTGTCCACCAGGAACCTGGAGAGAGAGCAAACAGCTCATTGCACACAACCCTTTTACCTCTCTGGAAGTTAACTCTGAGAGCAACATCAACCTCCAGAGTCAAGAGACTGTTCATAGAATTCAGGATTTTTAATTTCTGCTTCAGAATTTTGCACCTCGTAGGCCCCTTCCAACTCAGGATGTTCTATGGGTTTTGACCTAATCTTGCCCAATTTATGCTCCAAGTGCAACATCCAAACTTCAGGAGGACCTGGCTGCCCTGTGCCACACCCACCACGCTGAGAGGAACCTTTGCAGCATCATTTCTGCTATTCCCATTCCAGTCCCACCAGTCTGAAGCTGGGAAATCAGAAGGTTTATCATTAATTGACGTAAAAAGCAAGACCCATCTGGTTTGCACACACTGTCGTGGTGTCACTTCCTTGGTTGTGAACTTCATCTCAAACATTGCTAATTGAATTTTTTTCCTGGAGTTCAATCACCCAAGGATTTGGGAGAGATCCCAAGCAGAGCCCTGGCCACTACAGAGGCCAAGTTTTATCTGTGACATCATGGAATTATTGCCCTTCCAAGAGGCAATTCAACACAGATCCTGCTTCCCACTCATCTCAGGGGTCAAGAGCTTTTACGGCCTCATCAGCTCACACTTCCATCAGAGCCCCTGGACTTTCATTGCTGAAGTGGGGACTTTCCTGGTGGAGATTTGAGCAGGATGAGGCAGATCTAAGGCACCAACACAGACCTATGAGTGCACCCTCAGTTTTGAGGTGCTCCAGAGTTTCCTTTGCAAGTGCCACTGGAGCTGGGATCCAAGGCGAGCTGTTTCCTCTGCTGCTCCCATCTGGAATGACGGGGCTGCTGAAATCTGCATTCCTATCCCACTTCCTCCTGGATTAGGAATTTCTCTTTGGTCCATCTGTACAACGACTGAATTAATTCTGGTTCCACTTTCCACATTAATTTTTTCCTGTGGAGTTGCCACACTTCCAGCCCTTTTTCTTCTCTTTCCACCACTTTTCCTTTAATAATTAAAAAAGCTTTTGGAAAATTGACAACTTGACCACGAATCTTCATTACAACACCTAAATTAATGATTGCACAGCTCAAGGAGTCTGAGTTATGCTGGACACCAGGCCTAAATTATTTTATTTTGGACCAAATAACCTCCACTTGCTCTCTCTCTCTCCCATCATCACATTCCCACTCCGTGAATCAGTTTATCACACTCCTCCTCCCACAAAGGCTATCGAATATTTGAAGTATAAAAACTCAAAAGTCTAAGAAAAAAAGTCTGAATTTCAGGGTGAGTGATGAAGATTTGATATATGGAAGAAGAGCTGGACCTGGAAGGCTCAACCACCTCATTCTGCACTGTCTTGTTTGGGTTTTTAAATGTTTACAGTTTAAAGTGTCCACATGAACTCTAAAATATCCCAGATCTGCTTAGATTACAGAAAAATAAGGCTATGGATTCTCCAA